ACGTTAAAAGCTCCTCGTGGATTTAGTAAGGTATTAGTTTATCTTCGATAGGTAGCGAGGAGTATAAGGCCAATGTGTCAGATAACTGACAGTCAAATGACCATGTTTGCTTGCGTGCTAAAGATGGGTTGTGGAGGAGCATCCGTGGACAAAGAGCTGTGCAGGAAAAAGATACTGGTTTTTCAGCCGAGGAAAGAGGTTTGGTTGAGGAACCCCACCTTGAGCCTTTGACTCAAGAGTCTGACCCATAAGGCAGTGGGACGCTGTAAGATTGAGTCTGGAGACCATGCCCCTAGTCTCTGACTAAAAAGCCTAACTCGCGAAGCAGCGGGCAGTAGGGTTTTCATTGGGACCCTGCTTAGAGAAACAATGCCTCGATAGTCTGACCTGCTCGGCTGTAGGGGGTTGGCGTAACCCGAGGGTGCAGGGAGTAAGGCATTATTACCTCACCCTTAGTGCGGCTGCGCGCAGCACATGCCTTTTGAGCAGCACCGGACCCTTTGGTCTTAGAAGTATTCCAACCGTATTGAATAACGCGCCGGTGGCCACGGCCAAGTGTTAGGCAATCGGTGTTCGGTTTTTAGGGCCGACCCTTTCTAACCCGTCCTTCCTCGAGAGAAAGGGACATCGCTGCTTCCATGCGACATGCTGGTCACATGGGGAAAAACACCTTACTGCCTTCACTCGCCTATTGCCAAGGACAATGTGACTTTACCCACATATCGCCTCGGATTGCTCTTTTTTGTCTTCCTATTATGGTTGTAGCTTGTGGACGAATTTCCAGCAAGTGTAACCCACGGGATCATTGCAACACTCCAGTCCGACCACCACACCAAGCTGGAAGCTTTGGGTTATGGCCACGGAACCTTCATCCGTATCCCGGTCAGGGCACTGAATGAAGGCAGGAAAGCCCCTCGCTGCGAAGTTACTTATTATCAAACGCCAAGCAAGCGGTCACAAGCTATTAGACAAAAAAGTAAGCATCTCATCTGCAGTTTTTTTAAAAAAAGAACATTCTCAAGCGTTCCCCTTGGACTTTCCTGGACATTCTCTAATTATTAAACAACTATAGGCGAATACTGCAAAGCGACTCCATAACTTCCATAATAACCTTCACCTTCCGTGAGATACGAGGGCGGAGCCTGGACACCGAACAGACTACTTGCATGCTTCATCAGTAGTATATACCGTTACAGGTATGAAGTTTGCGTTGGATCGTCCTGTAGAAACACTACAATTCGCAGGTGTGACGAGGATAATAAGCGCTGCAGGAGAATTACTTAGGTTGTTTAAGGTAACTAGCACCTTTGAATAACCTGAGGAGGAGAATAATATGATATGCGTACTCCGCCTGTGAGCGAAAGATCAGGGAGTGTTTCAATCCCCGAGGTTTCAGAGGCAGATACAAGCAATAATAAAGCTGAATAGGAATGATGAGAGAGGGAAAGCCTGTCTTACACCACTGGACCCCATTACCTCGGAAGAGAGCTTGCTGTACACCCATGCGCGCCTACTGAATCTGACATGCAGCGCCCTTATAAGAGGTAAAATGTTAAAAGGGATACCAGTGATCACTATGACCACCTTCAGAGGCTTGAGTGATGCTGTTCAAGGAGACATCTCAGGGTAAACGTATGGACCATGCATCCATTGCCAGGGGAAATTTAACTTGATTCTTCCTAATCTGTCCCCTTCCGATAATCGACCAATCTGTGTAAAGTAATGCGAGAGTGTACCTTATGTACCACGAAGTTTCTGAAAGTCATTCTTATGCTCTGATTGAAGACTGAGCTCACACTTGAAGCGCTTTGTTCAACCAGTATTGTTTCCATTCTATAGCTTCTGTAAAAGTGTTGCCACCAGGGCTTCAGAACCTCCCCCTGAAAAGATCAGGGCATAAACCGTCCAGGCCGGGCGCCTTACCTCATTTAAAGGATGGTGCCCAGCACTGGATTTCACCTGTTGATTGAGGGCTGTGTCGATAATCTATTGAGAATCGTTGGGTACTTCCAGAGTGCTGAAAAAGACCTACTGGACTGTTTAAAAAGACCGACCCACTGATCAAGACGAGTATCTTGCGGATCAGCTGCAGTCTAATCTCCCTCGCCGACCCGTCTTCTATTGGCCGTACAGCTGTTGCTTGCATTAACAGCCCTCTCCAACTACTGAGTCTTCGCAACCCCCCAGCATTACCTGGTACCTTCAGGTCCTTGATTACTAAGTGTTAGGAGATCTGTGTGCGCCACCGTGATCGCCAATTGCTGTTATGACTTTTCTGCATCTACTGATTTCGGAAAAATTCAGTGTTCCATCGATCACGACGGATTGCTTGAGAAGGCGATCACGAAGGAAAGCGAACTGATGATCGAGCCCTCACAATCGCACGATCAGAATCAAGTTGCATACCTAATAGAAAGCGTTCAGCTGTAGCACCCTTTCGGTGCCTAGCTGCCATGCCACCCAAAGGTTGCACGAGGGCTGGGATACTGCCAGGTTGCCCAAGCCTAGACAGGGGAAGTCGAGTGGCGGAGGTCGGATTCGAACCACGGACCTTCCGGTCAGTAAATTCGCGCTCTAACCAATTGGGCCATCTCGCATACCCAATAAAGGGACGGAAATCCTTAATTGAGGCTTTTCATTGGCAGCTAACAGTTACACGACCCAAATGAGTCCCCGAACGGTTTGCGCTTGGTGAGCTCCAAGTAACTCAGTGTAAGCACGTTTTGGAAGATCGTACTTGAAAGAAACAATGTTCAGATCGCAACTGATGAAATCGATCTTAATTATCCGTACATTGAGTGCTGACTCCGAATTTAACTGCCCAACTGTCTTCCGGGCTGAGTGACCCAATTGGGGCGTTGGCCTTAACAGGCGGTTAAGCCAAAACGCGCTACTGCTGATGTCTCCCTTCTTAAATTTACATGTACTCCTGAGTTTTCCCTACTCCACCATAATGTGAAGCTAGTCTCTGCAGGTCTCGGCACGAGGACTGAGCCTTGCATCACGCCCACCTATCCACAACTTCCAACTTCAGTAACAACCCTAAGCACCTCAAAGTCGGTTTTCAGACCTCAAAAATATCATCCAGCTGCAGCACCCCTTCGGTGCCATGCCGCCCGAAGGAAGCACGAGGGTTGCGATACTGCTAGATTTCCCGAGCCTAGACAGGGACAATCGAAATGTAGAGATCAGGCTCGAATCACGGACCTGCCGGTCAATAAATTCGCGCTTTAACCACTGAACCATCTCGAAAGCCAGTCTACTTAGCGATTTTTATTGTCCGCAGACAGAAGCAAGCAAAACAGCAAGCGGTTTTTGATCGTGCACTAGATTCTCATCTGCAGTGATGTGTTGTCCGTTGAAAACAAGAATCCAGGACATAAGTTCTGTAACTGAACTGACTGCTCCCACTCTCTAGCTCCCGGAGTGCACTTCACCCCGAGAGGTGTAGCTCAATATGACAGAATACAGGTGTTGAAGGCAGCAATATGAAATATATCACTTGAACCTAATAAGTTTAGATGCGGAGCAACGGTTAGGTGACACAGGTAAGTGAGTCAGGAGGACTTGAGTGGGAACGCTTCAGAGTGAATGAACAGCTGCAAGGTCGAACGAAACTTCTTGCTTGTACAGGCCAAACGGAGTTGGTTGAAGTATTTCACTTTAAGGGTTTGACTCAAAAGTGTGGCCCACAACGCAGTGGTGGATTTTCATTTAGGGGCCCTTCTCCTAACCGCTGACTCAAAAGTGTGAAGAGTGAGACTGGCTATCAGGGTTTTCTTGACGCGGATACAATGACTCAACAGTCTGACACATTTGTCTGCAGGCGCCTGACGTGACCCGATGACACGGTAAGGTAGTACTGCTTCACTCTTAGTGCACCTGTAAACACCAGGCACCCTTTGAACTGTGCCAGAATCCCTGGTTTTACAAGTATTTCGACCAAATTGAATAATGCGCCACTGCCACAGTCGACCGTTGGGCAATCGAAGTGTGCGGTCTTCATAGCAGACATTTTATAACCCGTCCTTTCTCGGAGGAAGGCAGCAACTCTGATCCAATATAGAAATTCTATTCACCCGATGGAAACGCATTACTGGTTTCACATTCTTATCCCAAGAGACAGTAAGACTTCATCTCCAAAATACGTCATAATAGGATTTCCCGCAGTAAGGGGACTAGCGGTTCCTCATTGGGCTGCTACCCATTGGTCTTCATGGAATGGATGAGTCTTTATGAACTGAGTTCCAGCCCGTATAATCCGTCGAACCATTGCAGCACAGAAGCCCGACTGCCAGGATAAGGTGACAGGTTAACGTCGGGAGCTGCTAGATGGAGTCAGACAGATAAAGACTGCCATATTAATCGAGCTCCGGGGCTTAAAGAATGACTTCGAGGAGTCTATACCGTGTTGGTCGAGTTAACCGCAGGTATTATAGCTACTGGCAATGTCAGAAGGGGCCTACGGAGAGATTTCGCTGGAAGAAACCTTGAAGGAGGAAGTGGGGGGCGCAATCCTTTCTTCCGTATAGAAACTGAAAATTTTCTCCCTAATTTTCTCATTAATTGAATTCAACTTACTAGCAGATACATTATGGAGCACAAATTCCATTCGACCTGACTGTTTCATTCGGTGGGCAACGTAAGCAATATATACTAATTTCTTCATATTATACTGTTACTATACGCACAAGGGGGGGGGTCGGATGCTATCTCCGTTCCCATGCATCGACCGCCTGCGGTGAGGATTTCGGTGCTCTATCACAGACTGCGCAAAAGTAGGTGGATTTTACTATCTCCGTCCCATGCATCGACCGCCTGCGGTGAGGATTTCGGTGCTCTATCACAGACTGCGCAAAAGTAGGTGGATTTTACCTGCAACTATTTGACTTGATCTACTGCAATTATTTTACACATTCGCAAAACCGTTGGCTGCCTTTCTGTCATTATTTGTAGTATGAAATTGAGGTAAAGCATTTCAAGTTGTGCATAACTCACCCCTCTCCAGTGAGTGCACAGCAGGCCTGTATGTGCCACGGATGATCCCTGATTGAGGTCAAGTTCAAACTCTGACTGATTTCCGCGACCGACATACAACCGTTGACGTCCTGCTTGTTGGCAAATATTAGCATTTTACTCTTCTTGAGTTCCTACAAAGTTGCTCAACATTAGGCACATTACCTCAGCTGCAAGTAATTTGTACAATTCCTTCTTGGCGATCCACAGTCGCTCACGATCGGTACTGTCGATGACAACTATTACGAACTTTGGCGCGTAATCGCGGAACTGGCGTGCTTACATCAGACCCGGCATAGTATGTGCTCCATGAGGGTCTCAAGGCGCTTTGGCCACCAACATCCCACATGATAAGATGAAGGTTTTTCCACTTTACCTCTTCAACATTACTACCAACGGTGGGAGTGGTATGAACTGCCTCTTTTAGTACGAACTGATAAAGGATCGTGGATTTTCCGGCATTATCGAGGCCAACGATGAGAACCTTATAATTGTTAGCACCGAAAAAACGGTACAAAAAAGAGAGGACTAGGCCCATGTTCGCCAGCTGGCCATCGCGCGGCTACTGTGTGTGACCTTGGACTCGCTTGTTGATATAGTATGGGGACACACAGTTCAGATAGAAAAGCTCCAGATTCCAGGTGTTTTTCCAGGTTTACTGCTGCAAACCAAGCCCTTTTCTGCTAGTTTGCTTCTTCGACCAGATAAGATAATCTAGGGAAAGTTGAAAATCCATTTAGGCACACCACTGTGTGTCAGCCAGCAGGCCTATATCAACAGGTTCACAGATTAATGATGATGCATAGGAACAATTCACGGATTCACGGATTAATACACAGGATCGAGGCTTTTGCCCAAGTTTCCCGGGTCGGTTTTGTTCTTCATGGATTTTCTCATCCAGAAATCCAAGTAACAGGAAAGTTGATTAGCGCACGATTTGTACGGCCCTACATGAATAAGGAACCAACATCCTGGGCCAAACAGTGCATTGCCTGCCAACGCAGTAAAGGCACTCGGCATACGAACTCAGCTGTCGGTTCATTTGGAGTTCCTGACTCTCGATTCACGCACGTTCATCTCGACATTGTTGGTCCACTTTTGCCATTAAACGGTTTCACTCACATTCTTACCATGATTGATAGTTTTACCCGTTGGCCAGTGGCTGTACCCATTTCGGATACTTCAGCTGAAACGGTTGCTTTTTCATTTTTGCAGCACTGGGTGAGTAATTTTGTAATATACCTGCAAAAATGAAAATGACGCGAAAGGGACCGCTCCCTGGCGCTAACACTCAAAGCACAGGGCGTCACAGGGGAAGTTTATCGACAAAACCGCACCAGACTGAGCGAGAAAAGAGCGAAAACGTGTTTACCATCAATCATTGTACAACAGCAAACCTAGCAGTTCAGTACGGATTCCTATCCCAGAGATCCTTTAGTGGATGGCAACTTCACTACTTTGAGACCGTCGCTGCAGCCTATGATGCCGGACGGCCTATTTTGCGGTCTCTTTGGACATCTAGAAAGCCGCTGAACAAGTTTTCCAAGAATCCCTGCTGAAGAAACTCAAATCTATTGGCCTCACTGGATCCTTACTTCATTGGTTCACCTCCTATCTATCTGATAGGTCACAGGTAACACATATTAGTGACAAACAGTCATCCCCACCACCGATCACCAGTGGAGTCATTCAAGGGAAGGTGCTTAGCCACACCCTCTTCCCACTATATATCAAGTTGTAGGCAGGCACTCGAGAACGTCCAACGTTCATTCACCAAAAAGCGATTCCCACAGACCAGCCCTCTCTCCTGCCACTCCTGTTGTATAAACGTAGGCCTTGAGCTACTCTGGCTTCGACGGTCCAAGCTGAATTTAACTCTCTTACACCGTCGGTTGTGCTGAGATGCTTTTATAGCCGAGGCCAGGCCAAACGTAAAGTCACATGCATGCTATAAATTCCTTAAATTCAGCTACATTTTAGTATGCTTTCAAGCGCACACAAACCTACGACACCACATTTCCTGGTTTACTACACTCTTATCTGGAATAATCTTCCCGATCGGTTTCGAAATATCATGCACCAGCATACGTTTTCAAAGTCTGTAGACAAATTCCCCACATGTTAGGCTGCAGTCACCCTACTCAATGCCCAAATATCTCCCGATTCCCTTTATGAAGAGGGTCCAGACCATCTCTGAGATTGGTGAAGGTATAGCGAACGAAATGAAAACAATGAAACAACGAATGAAAACAATGCCCTTACTATACCTTGCTACCTCTTTGAATTGCTTATGGCAACTAATACCCTGTTCCTCCCAGCTAGGTTCTTGCCCTGGATTATTCTATTCGCTCCGTTTATTGAGTAGTGCCTCATCCTGCCCAAACCTAACCGGCATAAAGCAAGCAATGGTAAGATTTCCACATACATGAAAGCGGATTATACGCATTGCGGCACATTCGGCCCACGCACACAAAATTGCAGTACGCCACTGTTCGGCTCAATAGCTCATGGTCCGTCATCGTTTGGCCATGGTTCGTGAGCTCCGGCCAACTTCGTTCTGTCCCAATTGTTCCAGTGACAGCTGCCGCCTCACTCGCCTCCACGACCTGCCTTCTCCAGCGACTGTTTGTCGTTTGTTTGCTCAAATTGAGTGAGCTGTTTTATTGGCCTGGCTTTGCACCGACCGGATAAAGTAGCTGGTGGCTGGGGTCCTTTATTAATGCGCAAGCCTCAATTATGCCTGCTTGGTCGGTCGCCACAATGCAGATCTGGTAGCATGCACCAGGAATGAAAAGCCCGTCTGATGGACGGTACGTCCTGCAGGAAGGTTCGTCCTGTTGCGTTGCACCACGGTGCGTTCGTATACCCGGCACTCCCCAGTAGCACAGGTGCTTCGCCCATCGCCGATGGTTCTGCATGGCCTCTGATTCAGGTGATTAACAACAGCACTGTTGTTCTCTGTTTGTTGCTGCTAGGTTGGACTCGTCCCGGTTGTGTCATTCAACGGGCATAGCTATAAGCACAGACGAATAAAAAATGAGAAAAGAGAAAAAAGACCTCCGTCTGTGAAAAAAGAAATTCGTAAAAACAGATTGAATAGCCTGGAGACTCTGTGGCACCCATGGATTACACGGACGTGAAGAACTGTAGCTGTTCTTGTCATAATTTTGGGTATACCGTGCCAAAACCAACTTATTCAAGCAAAAAACATGCGCCTACCTACTGCTTTCAGGAGCGAACATATGCAACGTAGCATATATGTATACAGAGGTTCTTAACCCTACTCTACCAACATTCAAATCTAGTGCCAAAAGATTCTATTCGCCATGCACCACTTGTTAACTCAAAGCTGATACCACTGATTCGAGGACTGGTCACCCTTTCCTACACCTACCTTCCCTCCTGGTACTGTCCAGCGCATGTAATAAATATCAGATCAACCAGCAATCTCGGAGGTTCATTCCCATCAGCCCCTATACATCTGATTTGCACACCGTCACCTTGCGTGCTCATATCGGCTTTTACCAGATCTCTTGTAATTTAATATCGTACGTTAGCACACGCAACCCCTGGTCGCTAGTCTATTAAGTACAAATTCATCCCTATCCTGTTCCAGATAATCACCTGCTGTCATCACCATAATCACGGTAGACGTGAAATTTTTCGTCCTATGTATATTATTGCACATTATCCTATTTGACGCCCCCTCAAACTCACCATGCCTTACTAATACCATCTCATCCCCTAATCTACCAAAGCTCTCAACTTCAGGTTTGGAAGACCTAGTCGGCTGTTATCCACTCCACCTGGCCTATGATCAACTACAGGATATCTAAACGGACCAGAAAACCACCGAACATATAGCTGTTTCCTCGGCCAGCCTGAAATGAATCCCGATGCTCAAAGAATTGCACAATTCAGCCCAATCACCTTAATTGTGACGTCCGTTACGGGGCTGTCCAAAAACCGAAGTATGTCAGGCCAACGATGGCTCGGCACCGCCACACCCAGTTTGATAGCACACCCGTAACTATTCCATTCCTTCTCTTGACCATTCCCTCTCGCCCACTCGTTCCATTAACTGCAAATACGACAGACTCTCCACCTGACCCCAGGTACCTCCATGACATATCCATTCCAACCTACTGAACTCTCGTTCGAGTTTAACCATTACTGTGTGCCTGTGCTTTCCACAAAATTCAGTCACTTGCTATACAGTTGGTGTTCCGGCTCCCGTGTTGCCATCATTTCACTCTTCCACAGAATTATTATGTGCGACCCCACAGTAGCGACACCGGTGAGCCTCTACAGTTTCGCCGTATACCGTGTTTCGGTGATTCCTGTTAACGCCCATCCGACTTGCTAATCCCTCAACCTTGTCATCCCCAAGCACATTTTTGTGACCCTGGCCATGAGCTCAACAGTCAAATGCTACGAGCCCTTAGCAGTGGTTTTAGGTTTTGGTTCAACAGGATCGGCGGGGTGACCACCTCAGCTGCTTCACGTGATCTGATGTTCCGGTTTCTCATTTTCCACCGGTACACTCTTCTCGTCGTGTGTCAGGAAGGTAGCCCTTTGTTTATCCCCCCCGCTTTGCTCTTTTGCCAGCCAACTTTAAATCCAAACGATTAGATCTTGCTCAACGGCCGCAAGATAATTGCACACCCAAATTATTTTCTCCGAAACTACAGGGTTTTCGAAGTTGTGACTTTAACGCGGAGTAAGTCTAATCCATTTGCACCTTCCGGTGACATGTTGCTCGTAGCATTTGGTTTAATTGAGCAAAATTTCAAGGTCGCGGACCTTCACCCATTGGCATTTTTTACCGGTTTACGCGGCACAAAACACGTAATTGCACTTAGGCATATTTTGGCGTTCGTTGGTGTTCGTTGAAAATGAAAAACATGAAGAATATCTAATTTAAGTTTCAGCCCCCAAGACCGGTTGTCTATGTTTGCTTGCTTTACACTCTTCAGGTTTAAAAAATGCGATTCTAATCGAAAAATATATTCTGTTCGGCCAACCTGGTCACAAAACATTTTCCCGTGGATCTCAAATTCCATTAAGTGCAACGTTGTTATACAACAGCATGAACTGTACACTGGCGACACAGGGGCCACCTTCGTTGATGAACAGATAATACAGCGTCTCAAAAGAGCTGAAAGTATCATTCCTATTATGAATATGACGCTCTATGGGTGGTGACTGCCATCAAGCTATCGCCAAAATAACGGTAGCCGTTTTCGCTCACCTCGACTACTTATCACAACTGCTGGATCCGTGTCTATGTGCGGCGTTGCTTATGGGGCCGCACCTATGCACGGCAGCCTAGTACAATGGCCAACG